GCATAAAAGAGAAGATTGAATCGAATCGCTGATATGGAAGATCAGATGAGGCATATGTATGTATTCACGTTTGTACATACTTATGTGGGGGGGCAAGTTCAATGCTGGAAGTGTTTTTCGTTGGACAACCCCGAAACTCGCCCCCCGCCTGCAAACATCTATAATTAGCTGTTTGTGGAAAATCTCTTGACTTGACTGCGCATTTAGCACGGCCTGGATATCTCAGCTTATTTACTTTTCGATCAATTAACTTGGGCGACAATTTGAACAGCTGAGCTTGTAAGCTCATGTGCCCATCTGGCAACGCTGTAAGCCAGTCTTGTAAGTCGATCTCGCTCTCCAGCTTCAGCTCTCTCTCTTTCTCTCTCTCTGGTTCTCTCATTACCCACACATGTCAGGTGCAGTCCCACTTATCAGCTGCTCTGGTTGTTGTTGTTGGGGAAAGTTTGAGTACGCGTGTACACTGGCCACAGGCGGGGATCTATGGGGGGATTGACTTGGGGAAAACCCCCCAAAAAATGTTCAAAACAAAGCTAAAAGTCTTTAAACGTATTTCCTATTTTCAAAAGTCAACCAATCAATTTCATAGAATTTAAACCCCCTTTTCTTTTACGCCTTATCCCGCCCCTGCTTATATCCATGTAATGGTGTGCGCCTGTGTTTGTTTGTTGTGGTGATCGCCAGCTCGTTTGACCAGAGTCAAGATTTTAATACTTTCTAGACTCTCGGAGCGAGTGCAACACGTCACGACCAAGAAAACTACTGCCAATTCCAGACAAGTTTTTCGTTTTATCAAATTCGTAGTACTTAAGAATATAAGTCGCAAAATGAGCGGCGAGGAGGACTACTTCGAGGAGGAGCAGGAGCAGGAAATATACGACGATGGCACGGTACTTGGCAAAACCCCACGTATAATAAAGCCATCTCAACGGCTTGAGTGTGACGAATACGAAATTGGTGTCGTGGCCTATATTTGCCTATAACCCCCCCCATTGAACTAATCGATCGTGAAAGTGAGTTTCTGACCCAAATTTTCTACTCTTTTTTTTCTTATCCAGGAGTACACCGAACCGGGTGCCCAGAAGGTGGACAAGCCCTCGAAGGACGAGAAGAACGTGGCCAAGTGGCTGAAGAAGAACGTCAAGACGAAGAAGACCAAGTTTCTGAGCCACATCGTCGAGTACTTCACTTCCAGCAAGGCCATCGATGCTCTGATGAAATCCAAATTCGCCGAGGGCAGTAGCCCGCTCTTCACCACCCGTGAGCAGGTGATCGAGTTTCTGGACGTGATGCTGGAGCACAAGTTCTTCCATCGCGCCAAGAAGGTGCCCGTTACGCTGGAGGAGATCAGGGGCAAGTCCAGTGGCGACAAGAAAGGGGACAAGGAAAAGAACCAGGAGAAGGACAAGGAGAAGGACAAGGACAAGGACAAGAAGGACACCGATCCGGAGGCCGAAAATGGCCAGGGCGAGGGAGGTGCCTCTGGCAACGAGAAAGAGAAGAAGGAGAAAAAGAAGCGCAAAATCCGCCTGGACATGCATCCCGAACAGATCTTCGTGGACGGCTCCGAGGCGTACGTGTGGATCTACGATCCCATTCCGCTGCACTACTGGATATTCGGCTTCATCCTGCTGTTGGGCGCCGTGGGCATCTGCTTGTTTCCCCTGTGGCCACCACTGTTGCGAAAGGGTGTCTATTATCTCTCCGTAGCCGCAGCTGGTTTCCTTGTCTTTATTCTGGCTCTGACCGTGGTGCGTCTAATTGTATTCACCATTGTATGGGCACTAACCGGTGGCAAACTGCACTTCTGGATCTTCCCCAATCTGACCGAGGATGTGGGCTTCTTTGCCTCCTTCTGGCCGCTTTACGAGGTTTGGTTTGACATAACAACTAATTGCTTGTGAACCTATTAAATCAACTTTTCCACTCAACAGAGCAACTATAACAGTGAAGGAAATAGCTCCTCCGGCAAGACCGACAAAAAATCCAAGTCAAAGGACAAGAAGAAGGAGAAGGAAAGCGATGCCGAGGACACTGCTGTAGACGCGGATGGGGATGTTGACGGCGATGGTGATGTCGATGCAGAGGTCTCCACACTTGAACCAGAGAAAATCGAGCTTATCAAAGAACACGACACCGACATGGAAATCCGCAAGCGTCGCAAGGTGGGAGCCGATGAATACGAGGATGACGATGTGGACGAAGAGGATCCGCAGACGCAGCCCAAGGATTCCAAAGCTGGGTAAGAAGGGTCCGCTCAGTAATGACTAGGATTCCTGCTTTATTGCTCGAATTTGTATTTATGATTTGTTTAGTTTCCGTCGAGCATTTCGTTTTGTTTTTTCATTGAAAAAACAATATTGCAAAGCGCAAGATACATTAACTCTAGCTTTTAATTGTAAAACCTCTTTGTTCCTTAATAAATAATATTGTATGATTAAAATGCATTAATTTAATTTTTTTGTTTGCGTTCATAACAATTTTATTTCGTTTACAAAGCATGTCATTTGTATATACATTTGTTTCGTGACTTGTGGAGGTTCATTTTATTGGTAAATGGTTTTTAAAATACTGGTTTCTGGTGAAATTCGGAATATTTAAAACGTAAACGATGTATATAAAATCTGAAATCGTAAGTTCTCACATCAAAGCTTGAAGTATAAACGGAGTAAGTTTTGCATCCTATTCATTTTATTTAACATCATACACATTGTACCTACTGTCCCTTCTATACTTTTGATTAATTCACATTGATTGTTAGTAATTCCCCTCATTTTTTGCTTTCAGAACCCCACGCAACTCGGGATCCGACTCGGAGAGCTCTAGTAAAGATTATGAGATAATCAGTTCAAGTGAAGTGCAAAACGTTGCTGGCAACTAAGATGGAGAAACCACAATATATATATATTAATATTTAATGATCCACATCTAGCTAATTGATAAGACATAGAACAAGAATCACACATCAAGTACATCAGCACATACACGATTCCAGGTTCAGCGAATTATTGTCCCACAAAAATACGATCGACGTCGTAGTTTTCGATCGGTGTTTTCCGAATCCGCTTTAATTGAAATTGAGTTTGAAGTTTTACATTTAATATGTATTTGAAGGAAGGCGTACAGACATGACACACAACATTTCCTAAACGCAATATTATGTTGACCCAGGTTTTCTAGGCTGCAGTTGGGCCTTGTTTTGCCGCGTAAGTTCTCAAGCCCTTAAACAAACTAAATATTACTTATTTGTATTCCTATGTTTGTAAATGTATACAGTGGAGCACTGGGCGAGTGCAAGAAACGATTGCAATTGATAATAATCATAGCGAGTACGTAGATGTGAGCACATACGTCTTTATGTGCATAAATATTTACTCTACATGTAATTAAAGCGAACTAACAACTTAAAGAAATTAGTAGTGTAACACGCAATTAACTATTATATAAATAAAGCTAGGCAATTCTGATCTGATGTGAGAGATATTTGAGCGTTTTTTAGTTCTTGCTCGAACGTTTTATTAAAAAAATATACAACCTACAATTCGTTTTTGAACTGTCGTTTTGTGGGAGGATAAATCCAAGATATTGATAACGAAGGATGGCTGGAAAAGCGGGACGAAGTTATAACTATAGACAGTGATTTATTCTTGACTTTTAAACGAATATATTTTGTGCACTTGTCACCCTGCACCGAATACACCAAAGTAAAATAATAAACAAGTTTGTTGTTACAAAAAGTGTTTAAATTATAAAACCTTTAATTTACAATTCATTTATCGCCACGCTTGATCCAAAAAGTGTATATATTATAATAATTTAATTTAATTTCATGTACAATTCATCTATCACACTTATTTGAAATCTTTTTTTCTTGTATGGAACCTCAATTCCATCGAAACTTATTTTAACTCCCCACTAGAGGAGGTTGAGTTCTCAAAATTGGTTATAAGACTCAGTGGCTTTTGGCAAGGATAATTTGGTTTTGAATCAGAATTTACAATTGGCTTTCTTAGCTTTCTGGCACCTGGATCTGAAATATCTTTTGATGCACTTGATAACGCAGCAGTATCTATTCCTCCAACAGTTTTTTCGACAGGAGTCATATCTGAAGAGTTGGTTGTAATCTTAGTTTCTCTTTTTGTTTTTGAACTCAATGCTATGCTGTTCCGTAAAGAGTTTTGATCCCTTTCTTCTGTATCAGCCAATTTATTTGTAAATGGTTCCAAAAATTTTGAAACCGATGAAGTTTCAGTCGATCCCAGCAGCTTTATTGGCTTAGTCATCATTTTTTTGAGCTTGAGTTGCAGCGCATTGTCGATTCGTTTTCTAATGTTATCGCTCACTTTTGAAGAATTGTAATGGGCAGCCGTTGTAGGATTCACCTGGGCTATTTTGTTCTGATTTTTTGTCACATTGTTTCCGTTTATGGGATTCTCATTGAATTTCTTAACACCTGTGCTTTTAGGTCTAGTTTTTAAACTCTCTGCCTTGGGTTCTTTACTGACTGACGGAGAAGGTTCGCTATTATTAACAAATAGTTGATCACCTTTCATAATATTAATTGGATTTGACTTTGTTTCTTCCTCTGTACTCATGTCGCAAAACATATCCGACTGGGAAAACTTCTGAGCATCGTAGATATTGGTAACTCTTTCATCCTTTTGAATCATCACCTTTTTCTGATGATCTAACAATATCTTATTTTCTTGCATATCAAATGATATTTCAAGTTCTTCGTATTTAATCTTGCGGCTTCGGTATTTCAAAGGATGTGCTGGCCAGACCGGTAGACGGGGTTTTTTGCGATTTTTTCGTTGCTTAATTGATCGGCCTAATCCCTTGGGAGTTGCTAAATGGGCAATTGGAGTTTCATGTCCGCTATCATCATTTACAATTGCCTCTTTGTCTTTGTGAGATATCAGTTCGCTGGGATCTATATCAGGCCTACGAAACTCGTAGAGAGACAAAGGAGGACGATTCGTAACGTAACTTTCCTTCATGTACCCTTTAATAACTTTAGTGTCCCTTACAAAGGTAGCGACACGGAGCTTGGGAATCTCTGAGCATATGTAGACCACTGTCTCGAAGGTTTTGCTTACAGACCAGGAGATCGAATGAACGTTGTGTCTACAAAATTTATATTCTAGAACGGTTGGTGAAATATTTGGTACATGTTCCGTATTAACTAATAATGACTTATAGTAGGATTTTACCTTACTCTCCAATATCTTTTTGTCAGTCTGTAAAATGGAAGGTATAACACATTGATGATTTTTGCAATGTGTTTGTGATGAACTTCTATACGAATGACAGCATCTTTGCCCTTTTCTTTGAAATATTGTCTGATTAACATTATACATATCTTCTTCGTAATCTTCCATCTTGGAGCATTTCTTCTTTTCAGTTCTTATGTTTTCCAGTTTTTGCCTTATAGCATTTCTAAGTTTTATGTTTATGCAGGTTCGATTTTTATCATCGGGCTCTGTAGGTATTATATCTCCCTTCATTTTTATGGCATCATTTTCTGTATTTTGTTTAATATTTCGGTGATTTCCGCAACGGCCGCACTTTAAAGGTAAGGAATTGGGCTTGTCCTTCACAGAACATATTGTTTTTCCAGTTGTGTTTGGTGATGATTCGTTTATTCTATAGAAATCCCTTTCCCCGCTAGAAGAGCTTAGTGTTGTTGAGACGCGTTTGGAATAATCTTGATCGTGCTTAGTTTTATTTGAAGAAAGTACAGACTGATCAGTTGATAAATCACTTAAAAAAGAACTTGTTCCATGGTCCTCGTTGCCGTGATTGGGAAGCTGGTTCAATTCAGGGCCCTTGTCATCCTCGGAGTTATCGACAGAGCTCTTGGATGCTTGTGAACGGATAAGCTGATCCCAAATCGAGGCAATGATGGCGGATCTCTCGGCTGCCTGCCTTTCTACATTTCCGGTCTCTTCTGGCGCATTTCCTTGTTTGGTCTTCTGGATGATTGGGGGACTGGAAGTGTTGCTGCTCAAGGAGCCGCTTTCGCTTGAACAATCGAATTCGATTTCATTGATGGTTTTCATAAGATTTTGCTGCACCAGCTTGGTCATGAAGAAGCAAGGACGCTGCACGTCTGGTGGACTATCGTTCTCGGGATTAACGGGGACTTTGGGGGGTGGTAAAGGCGCCGGTGAACCATAGCCACTTCTCAGTTCCATTTCCAAGGACTCGATGCGATTGTTGCGCAAATCCCGGCGTGGTTCAATGTACAACGATTTGGGTCGATGGAGCAGGTAGCGAGCACTATTCACGACGAGTGCATCCTCTGATGGACCCTCGTACTGGTCGAAGGGACAGAACTGGCTGGCCAGCTCGCTTTCGGCATCTAGCGAATCCTTGGACGTCTGTGGACTGGAGCTGCCGCCCTTCTCTCTGTCCTCCAGCGACTTTTGACAACTGGCCAAGATGTTGGTCCGTACTTGGGCCAGTGGGGGCAGCGGACGACTTCTGTGACAGAGTGGCGGACGGGAGCTGTAGCTGCTCCTCTTGGAGATGGCTCCTCCCAGGCCATTCGTAATGGGTGTGTTCAACGGGACAAAGTTGCTGACAAAGAGATTACTATAGCTCTGGAGTACGTGATTTTCCTCACTGAAAACGTCTTGTTTCATTAAGTTTGGCATCTCCTTCCATGGTAATCTCGATGCTGGTGGTGGAGGAGGTGGAGGAGGAGGAGGAGGCGGTGGCGGTGTCGGTGTTGGTGGCTTCCATGCCATTTCAGGTGGCGGCGCTGAGGGTTCCTGTTTCTCCCGGCGTGGTGGCACTCTTTTTGGCTTCGAGTGGAAGCCATGACGAACCGAATATAATTTGCTTTTAATGTGTTTGGGGTCACCATTTCGTGTCTGGCCACCTTCTGCTCTGGACAAGCCACCGCATTTGACGCAGTTCGTCCGGCAACTGGCTCTGGCATTGGGTTTCTTCGCCTTCACCTGGCTTATTTTGTCTTCCTCCGTGCGACGTTGCTCCATTAAAATCCTCTGGCGATTGGCGGTCACCTCGGTCTCCTCGTCGCTGGAGGAGTGGACGCCGGTCTGGGGGCGTCGGGCCAATCCGCACACCTCGCAGACCAGATGGCGGTTCACCGGGATGTGGAGCACCGCTCGGGGCAGCTTCTCGCACAGGCACCACTCCTGCTGCCACGTGAGCCCGCTGGCCATGTTGTTCATGTATAACGAGTACAGCTTGTAAAAGCGAAACATCAAAAGCGATTTGTTTTGATTTATCGGACAGCAATCAGAAAAGTTATGTATGTGCTACAATATATTCGGGCGATTTCTGTCAGTTATGGATAGTAACAGGCTTGCCACCCACTATTTAAATAAAATAGTATTCTATTTCGTTAAAAAGTTTGTATAACCAAGTCAAAAAGTCAAGTACATTTAGGCAATAACCAAGGTACTTTTGAAATACAACTAACCTGGGTTATTTATTTATAATTTATAGTCCAAAACAAAGCTTCTTACAATTTTCCGTTACTTTACAAAGAAATATACTTTCAACCAGATATGTTCAAAAACTTTGTATTACAATTTTGACATATTTGGGGATGAATCCTATAGAAATTTTGTTTTACAAAAAAATTTGTATATAACAGCGTTTAACATTAGCAAATATAAGAGTATGGCAGAAGTGAAGATATAAAATAAATAAATAAAAACAGGTGAAAACCGTTATTTACACTTAAAAAAAATGGTACCATTTTTTGAGTGTAAAAATTTAAAAAAACACTTGCTGATATTGGTTTTTGAATAAGGTTCACAAAATTTCGAATGGCTGTGTGACTTAGTTTAGCAAAGTAACAACAAAACAGCACTTTGCGAATCTGTTATTTGTTGTAACAATCTCTAAATAAAAAACACTTAAGAATTGGTTTTGGAATCAAAGCCTGGAAAGTAACCATCAAAAGTTGGCATGTCATACATCGTTAAACTCGTCATAAAATTTCTAATCGAATGGCATTTACAGCTAAAAGTATTTGATTGTTTTTTCATTAAGGGATGGAGGATATTTTGTAAGAAATTTGATTTTGTTAATAATACTATACCTTAAGGCATAAGTAAATATTCAAACTTGGTTTGCAATAGCTTTGTTTGCACAACCTGTAATTTAAGTTTATTTGGCCGTATGGCTTGGATTGCACGTGCGTCAGAACACTTTCAGAGTTGAGAAATTTAATTAACTTTCTTCTGCATTTTTAATGCACACATTCAATTGAGTGTAATTGTTTTATTTTTTTTTTTGTATTGTTGTCCGACTCGAAGAGCTCTCCTTCAATAGACTGCAGCGTCCTTCGAGAACATTTCATAAAATACCATTAAATGTAGTTTGCATATTCGCCCAGTTCCTGGGAAAGCAGATTAGTTGCATGGCAATCTAAGTGAAATTTCATGTTCCATATGCAATTACAGTTCTGGGAGCAAACTCATATATATTAACACTTATAATTGACAAGCACACTTCACCTTGCCATTCGAATGTGCTTCGAATTTATTTGTATTTTTCCTGCAATAGATATGTACAAAGTGCAAGCAGTTGACCCAAATACTCAGCTCCTTCAGCAGCATTCTGTTTAATTAACTCGATAGCATTTGATTGATTGGCCTAATCCCTCAGCTTTATACAGCACCACCTAAAAGCCGAAACAACTATCCACCTCATTTCCCGGGCAAAGTCAATAAACACATTAAAAGCGCATCGCCTTACAAAATGTTCTGCATCTTCGGCTCATTGAGCAGCTTTTGAGGAGCAGACTGGAGACCTTAGGGAAAGGCGTTTGGCAGGGAATTTATGCACTCAAATCAAGCGGGGCCATAAATTATGGACCCAGTCGCTATCCAGCCGGGAGTTACTAAGTTCCAGTTGCACGTTCCTCTGTCCATTTTGAATTACCAGCCGACTGTCCGGGATTTATGCGCGCCACTGGCCATAAAAATATTATTCCCAGACTACGGACTATAGCCTCTCCGAATCGGCGCCTAATTGTTCAGCATCGATTGTAGTTCAATATATTCGGCTGCAAAGACTACATCGGGAAAAATATGTTCTTAGGAAATTCAAAAAATAAATTAAATAAGTGGAAAATCATTTTTGTTATAAATAAAGTAATCTTCATCTTGATTTAAAGAAAGGATTGCAGAAAATATCAAAGTTTTTTTACTTTAAGGTCTTAAGATATACAATTTCAATATATATATTATATATATTTTTGAAGATTTCTGAGGCACCCTTAACTAACAAGGTTCTATTTTTTACAAATTTTGTATTTGAAAATACATAATGTGAAGTCTAAGGAATCTAAATCTCAAGAAGTGAATGCAGAATTCATTCAAAATCATTTAATCAACGCAGCACGTTTTAACACGCCTTTTAATGTGATTTTCCATTTTAAACTTTATGAGGTACCTCCCGACTAAAAAGGAGTTATTGTAGTTATTTTTATATCAAAGTATTGATAATGTCTTATTCAAAAAAAAAAAAAAGAGCACACTTAAAAGAATTTTGCACCCTGTACGCAACTACAAAAACGCTTCGACGTCTGCGATTGGGGCAACAAAATTATTTACTCCCTGGTGTGGCATTTTAATGCGTTTTTATTGCGATACTTTTAGCGTCATTTCATTTTCGGCATTTTTTTTTGCCATGGAATTTGCACCCCACCATTTGGCCGCCTTTGCTTTGCCATCGCCAGCCGTAATTTTTGTAATTTTTTGGCGTGGCTTTTAGTTGGCGTTTATTGCATTTCCTTCAGCATTTAAAGAACGGACGCCCGACCGGAAATTTAATGTGTGGCAACTATTTAAAGCATGCACAAGCTACATACATACGCATCCAGAACGGGCTCTTGTCCGGGGTTCAAAGGGCAGCTCTGGGAGGGGGTGGAAGGGGGGAGGTGTAAAACAGTGGGGGGTGTTGGTGCCCAATGGGGAGAATATTTTTGCATGCAACTGGAGTCGCCTGGCAAATTCATTGCATACTTTTAGGCTGCCGTCGAATGCGTTCAGGGATACTGATACTCTCACTGAATGGCGTATTTCTACCCCAGGTCAAAGGTAATGAAATGTATATAATTATCCGCAATCACAGCAATTTAATTGGAGTTTCACCTCAACTTTAATTACGAAAGCTATTCCAACTAGCACCTACTACACACACCCAATCCGGTGGTCCACATTCCTGAGAAGCGGAGCTGCTTCTCGCCTGGCAAATTCCAATTGTATATTAAATACTTGGTATTAAGTTTTAAGCAAATTTTAATTACAATGCCGTTGCTTCCGCCATTTAACACAAAAACAATTTCCGCCCGGGCATACATATTTTAGATCAAATATTGCAACTGCTGCCTGGTCATGGATGGGATGAAAAGGGGTAGGGTTTGGGTTTGGGATTCCAAAAGAGGGATTGGGATGTGGGTGCTATATCGTTGCCTAAATGGTTGTTTTTTTTTTTGTGCCGCTCTGCTGGGCGGTTGTGTTGCCATGAAATATGAAATTCAGTTCGTGGCTACGTGACTTGGGGAGTGTCTATTTTTCAGCAGCGATGCTGCCAAAATTGGGGGCGCGGATGCTCCGCCTTGTGTGCATGCTGCACAAACGCATCCTCTGTTTACTTATTTAACACAATTTTCACATTTCATAATTCAAGTCGGTGGAGTGCACACCGTACAGTGATGGCTGACGTGCGATGGCCAAAGGAACTGGGCGTGGCTGTTTGGGACACGCATGCGTAGCCTCGCTTTGGGGTATTGATGTCGGTCCCATCACAACGTATTTCCCGTTTAATGTTCCTCATTTTGCCACTGGTTATTGCATGCAACTCTTGAGTTTTGTGTGCTGCACTTTGTCTGGGTTAATTTTTTTTTACCTACGTAGTACATAAGTGGAAAGCGCTGTCTGGGATCTCTAGGCGAGGCGACAACCTTGAAAAGCACTCAACAAATAAAAGCTAGCACTTCCAGCACACAGCTCGGGGGTTCCTTCGGTCGCAATTATTATAGTTTCTGTTATTCCAGAGGCACATCACGTATCCGCCGTGGTGGCCCACTCACGGATTCGACTCCTGATGCAGTGTTGAAGGAGGCGATGTTTGCCTTTGAGCACTGTACGCTTTGTAGCACAAAAACTAGTGCTGGATTTGTGGGAAAGACATCGTTTACTTTAATACGAATGTCGCACTTTATCCAAATCGTCTTACGACTGGAATATTATCTTAACGCATTGCCTAACCGTTGAAGACATTAATTGCGTTAAAGTATCTTTCCTTTTGAATTATTTAGCTTATTATATTATATAATCTTGAGTTACAATTTATTGGATCATTAAAAATAATTTACAAAATAAATATTCAGTTGATTTTTAAAAAGTTTTGTACATTCTACACACCTTATTAGAAACATAATCAATGCGTTTGTCATATTCATATTTAATTAAAATAATTACAGATTAAAATTTCACCCTTAAGTTAACAAGAATTAAAAAAATAAATCCATTTGCCATGATATTTTTACTTACATAATCGATTCATTCATTCCAAATCAAAATTACAACTAATGTCTCTTAGCCATTTCAAATGGGAGTGATTAGTTCAAATTCATATATTCAGTTTCCAATTTTGCTTTTTAATTTATGCACATGACCCATTTATGATTGATTTTCTGCCAGTGCACTGGGTCGAGCATCTCGGCGGGATGGCAGAAGTCAAAGGTCTGCTCCTGATTGCTGCAGTATGTGACGGAATGTGTGCCTAGATTGGATTTGATTGATTGCGGTCTGGGGGCAGAGACAGACGCTGGGAGTTTGCCAGGAATGTAAATCCGTCTCGGGATGCTTTAATGGCTGTTAATCGAGAGGTCTCCGGAGAATCTTTAACAAGTATCTCTGGGGGGAGACAATATAATCCGTTGTCTTTTGGCAAGAGTGTTTCGTGGTGGCTGGGCCAAGCTACTTCCGTTGCGATAAAAGCGCTTCTAAAAGGTAATTGTTTAAAAATGGACTTTATTCAGTTATGGCGCAGCACTGTCCTCTGTGGCCATACACACACATGCATATGCATCCGCATCCCCATCCGCATCCCAGACCATATAGCCCATAGATCGGCTGTCTAGTCATGTGTGTGCTCGCTGTCCATGTAAATTTTAAGCAACTCTCCAAACTAACAACCGACGCAAATTGCTGCTGTTGCGGTTTATTTTGTGTTGCAAAAATATGCACCGTCCTGCCCTCACCGTCTGTCTCCTTTCGCAGTTCCTGGGTCCTGGATCCTGGTTCCTGGTTCCTGATTCTCCTGATTCTCCTGTCCCCTGCATCTGCATCTGCATCTCCCCGCTGTTTGCTTAGGGCTCTGGGAGTTGGGCATGGGTATGGGTATGGCCATGGAAATGAGGATGAGGATGAGGATGACGATGACGATGGTCTAGTGGCGCATTGTTGGGCCTGACTTTTTGCTTGCCGCTCTACGGAATGTGCGGAGTTTGTTTGTTGT